AGGGGCGCCTGAGTGGCTCAGTCATTAAGCGTCGGCCTTGGGCTCAGGTCATGATTTCCTTACACCATACACAAAAATAGACTCAAAATGGATGAAAGACTTAAATATGAGACAGGAATCCATCAAAATCCTTGAGGAGAACACAGGCAGCATCCTCTTCGACCTCGGCTCCAGCAACTTCTTGCTAGACACGTCTCCAAAGTCAAGGGAAAGAAAAGGTAAAAATGAACTATTGGGACTTCATCAAGATAAAAAGCTTTTGCACAGGAAAGGAAACAGTTGACAAAACCAAAAGACACCCGACAGAATGGGAGAAAATATTTGCAAATGACATATCAGATGAAGGGCTAGTATCCAAAATCCATAAAGAATATATCAAACTCAACACCCAAAGAACAAATAATCCAATCAAGAAATGGGCAGAAGACACAGACATTTCTCCAAAGAAGACATACAAATGGCTAACAGACACATGAAAAAAAATGCCCCATATCACTCAGCATCAGGGAAATACAAATCAAGACCACAATGAGATACCACCTCACACCAGTCAGAATGGCTAAAATTAACAAGTCAGGAAACGACAGATGTTGGTGAGGATGTGGAGAAAGGGGAACCTTCCTACACTGTTGGTGGGAATGCTAGCTGGTGCAGCCACTCTGGAAAACAGAATGGAGGTTCCTCAAAAAGTTGAAAATAGAGCTACCCTATGACCCAGCAATTGCACTACTGGGTATTTGCCCCAAAGATACAAATGTAGTGATCCAAAATGGAATATTATGCAGCCATCAAATAGAATGGACTCTTGCCATTTGCAATGACATGGATGGAACCATAGGGTATTATGCTAGGCAAAATATGTCAGTCAGGGAAAGACAATTATCATATGATCTCACTGGTATGTGGACTTTAAGAAACAAAACAGAGGATCATAGGGGAAGACACGAAAAAATTAAAGAAGACGAAACCAGAGAGGGAGACAAATCATAGGAGACTCTTAAGTATAGGAAACAAACTGAGGGTTGCTGGAGAGCAGGGGGTGCAGAGATGGAGCAACTGGGTAATGGACATTAAGGAGGGCATGTGATGTAATGAGCATTGGGTATTATATAAGACTGATGAGTCACAGGCCTGTACCTCTGAAACCAATAATATATTATATGTTGGGCGCCTGGGTGGCTCAGTTGTTAAGCAACTGCCTTCGGCTCAGGTCATGGTCCCAGGGTCCTGGGATCGAGCCCCATGTCGGGCTCTCTGCTCTGCAGGAAGCCTGCTTCTCCCTCTCCCACTCCCCCTTGCTTGTGTTCCCTCTCTCACTGTGTCTCTCTCTGTCAAATAAATAAAATCTTTAAAAAAAAAATAATATATGTTAAATAATTGAATTTAAATAAAAAATGTTTTAAAAATGGGCAAAAGACACGAATAGACATTTTTCAAAGAAGATATACAGATGCATGATATTATTTAAATCTCACAACAACAATGCTCTAAATGGCATATAATAGGTGCTAAGGAAGTATCTGTGGTATGAATGAACAACCATATAAGCAAGGTGCCATGTGAGGCAACCTTGGTTGAGAAAGATTAGGTAAATTGCCGCAGATCTCCTAGTTAGTAAGTGGCAGAATTCAAACTTTATAAGACAAAAATACCACTTTTGGCTTCAGTTCTAACCTGAAATTACAGATAAAGACATCAGGTTCTATTTCGAGAAAGAAGTTAGATTCTTAATACTACTTTTTGAGTCATATTGAAATTTGAATCTGTTAATTTGGTTGTGTTGTTTTGGTTTCAAGCAGCCTTGACACCCAATTTTCCATTATTTCCTAAACAAGTGACGTAGGAAGATTTGATTTAACCTCTCTGAAACCAAGGTTTTAGAAGACTGTAAAATGAAGATGACAGAATGAAGGTGGAGCCAGAATTGGAAGTCAAGGCTATGTTACTCTCCTGGTTTTTAAATAATGATAACTGATACAAAATATTAAGAAAACACTGTGCAGGCCAAATAAAATACATCTGCAGGTGACATTTGGCCTGTTAGTCACAAGCTTTGCCTTCTGTATTTGTTGAGAGAAGGCAGAGAGTTATGACACTATGGCGGTTAAAGCATGGACTGTGGAACCATACTGCCTGGGTTGCCATCCAAGCTCGGCCATTTATTAGCTGTATGACCCTAGGCAAACATCTTCATCTGTCTGTGCCTCAGTTTTCTTATCTTTAAAATGGGAATGTACCTTATAAGGTTGTTATGAGAATTGAGTGTGAGTGTGTGTGTGTGTGTGTGTGTGTGTGTGCGCACGTGAGCGCCATTTAAAACAGTACCTGGCATATAACAAGTGCCCTGAAAATATGTTAAATAAAACAAAATAAAAAAGCTCTAAGCTTCCTTTAACTATTTTCACTAATTCTAACTTGAACTTTGCCTCAGTTTGCACATCTGTAAAATGGGGACACTAAGGGTACCTACTTTGTATGGTTATTTTCAGGATAAAGTGATTTAATATAGAGAGAATTAAGATATCTACAGTACTTAGAACATTGCCTAGAACAGATTAAGCACTATGTAAGTGTCAGCCATTATTATTATTAATTTTTAAAATGAATGCTTGGCTAAGCTCATGTAAGTCAGTACTGCAAAACTTTAACATAGGCTTAGCAGTGTTTACAAGATGGTATTGATCCTAAGAAGCAAAGCCCATAGTATAATAATGGAGCTGAACTTTTAACCCTTCAGTCAATCATTGAAAAAAGCAAAATGGTGAAGTCTGAAAATAGTAAAATTTCCCAATCATTGCATAGCCCACTTAATACTCATCAATAAAGCTGAGGTTTATTGTTGAGGTAAAGGTTGAAATAAAGTTTGAGATAAAAAGAAAAGCAGCTTGTATTTGCATCTATAAAGGCAACTACTTGAATTTATTTTTTTAAAATCTCAGTACATTTTCCATAATAAATCTAAGAAGGAGAGGTAGAAAATTCAAACTCTCATGCATAGTTTATTAGAAGAAATTTCTATATTGGGAAACAGAGTTATCTCCTGGCTCCCTACTTAATCTCCATCTACCTGGAGTAAACTATTGCTTTGTCAAATATGTAAGAGAAGGAAGTTGTAAGAAGGGTCAGGTCCTGGGTTGGACAAAACAGCACCCTAACCATAATTTTTAAGATGTTAAGAACCCAGTATAAAGACATAAAGTTATTGTGGAAGGACCTGACAGTGCATGGGTGACCAAAGGGCCAAATAAGAGTCCTAGTGTGAGGGGACTGGAATATGCTGGAACCTCATACTGAATGAATGGGGATCATTGCAGGACACAAGTTTAAAGGTGCTAGAAGTGGGATTTCTCATACTGAAGTGACAATAACTATTAGTGAATCTCATTTGAGAAGAGATGGAAATTCTTCAATGAGAGAGGACAGAGGCAAGGGGAGATCTCACTGTGAGAAAAACAGAAGGTCTGTTGTGAGGAGACAGGATATAATATAAAAACTCCATTGTGAATTTGTAAGAACACTATAAAACCATTAGTGATAAGGACAGGTGACTGGGGTAATACAATTGGGGAACATACAGGATAGGATGTTGGGGTTTGTTTCAGGAAATACTGTGGAATTCTGAGTTTGAAAGCATAAGATAGGCTGTGGGAACCATTTTATACATAAGAAGGGGATGGAATGCTCCATAATGTGACAGGACAGGGTACAAGAGGAGACTCTAGATTTATAAAAGGGATGATCTAATGAAATGGGACAAGAAATGAGGCTCCCATGGGACTGGGAAGGACGTATTAGAAATCCCAGTGGAAAAGTATAGTGTTTTCCTAGTTTGAGAAGACAGGGGAAAAGGACAACCCTAAAGGGAATTGAGATAAAATAATAATAATAATAAAAAAAAAACTTAGAGAAAGAGGATGGCAAAATGTGGGGCTAACAATAAAAGAGAGCTGCAGGAGGTGGGGATTAGTTTTCAAAACAGATAACAAGGGGGGAGTATCATTAGAAAAGTAGTAATGGTAACTGAAAAGAAAAGTAGTGGCCCTCGGGAGGGGTGTGAGATATTGTGGAAACTCTTGTGGGAGGGTAAAGAGGACACCAATGTGAGAAGAGAGCGGACAAGGCATGACCATATTGTGATAAAAGCAGGATGCCTAGTATGAGGTGTGAGAAAATAATGTGGGGAGCAGAAGAAGAAAGGGAACCCCAGTGTGATAAAATCAGGGGCTTTAATGTGAGGGGACAGGACAAGATGTATTGTAGGACCCTCATTCCACTGGAGAAGATGACAAAATGGTAAAGCCCACAGGGAAAGAGAATAAAGGGCCCATTTTCACTTTGTGAAAAGGGGAGACCCAGTGGGATAAAACAAGGCATACTGTGGGGTCCTCTGTGGGAGAAGCTGTGAAGCACTTATGCCAGTGTGAGAGGATCATGGAAAAAGGATGAATTCCAGTGTTGGAAAAAAGAGAGCTAGTAAGAGAGTACAGGAAATATTTTGGGATTCCTTAGTGGGAGGGAATGCGAAAATGTGCGGCTCCTAGTTGGATGCATTGGTGGGATTCAGAGTGTAAGCAGTTTAATGATACAGGGTGTGTTGTTTTCTCAATTGCGTAGGGTGGGAGCCCCCAGAACGAGAACACCAGGCACAAGTGGTTGTCCTGTATGAGAAAAGAGGGCTCTAGTGGAAAGTGTCAGGAGATTCTTGTGGGTAAGGCCAGGGAATAATGTAAAAAGCCCTCAGTGGGAAGCGATGGCGACACGGTGGGACCCTCGTGGGAAGACTGTGAAGAAATACTGTGAGAAGCCAGAGGTTGGAGATGAGGAGGTCTCCAGAGAGCTAAGAACAAACAAACAACCCCCTCCCCTCAAAGAAAAAAAAACAAAAAACCCTGCAGTGTGAGGGCTAAGAACACGCGGGAGGGGGACACCAGGGTGAAGGGTACGACAGACAATTATCCTGGAGCATAATTTCCCCACCGTAGGTGCCCAGCTCCACTTACCCAGGCAGAGTTCAAAGACGTAGGCATAGTAGGACCAAAGCACAACGAGGACGATAACGAGCACTGGCACCCAGGAAAGTACTCGGCGACAGCACCGCAGCCCCCCGGACAGAGCCATCTTCCAGCCCTGCCGCATCTTTGGATCGAAGATCGACCGAGCAGGCCTGTCGGCGCTGGGTCGGAACTGCCCGGCAGGCAGTTGGGAGGCTGGAAGGAGCGCTGTGCGGCGCTCCACTGCCTAGCCTGGCGGGAACGTCTCACCAAACCGACACCACCTGTAAAGCTGCGGGGCAGAGTGCGCCCTGCCTGGCACAATAGGCATGAGTCATGGCGAGGAGGAACTGGCCTTGTTGGAGCGGAAGGTGATCCGCCGGGCAGTCGAGGCTGGGCACGCTCAGAGGGAATGCGGTCCCTCCCCTTTTCTCCTCTTCCACCCCCTTGCTACAGCGCTAGATGCAGAGCTGGACCTCCGCAAAACGGTGAAGCGGAAGAAATTTGGGTCCGCCCATCTGTCTTTACTGCACTGCGTCCCCCCTCATCTGCTTTCTGATCTCTCTTTCGGTTTTTTGTCTCTCTTTGTTTCCCCCCTCAACACAAACGCGGGAGCACACTTACACGCTGTGCGAAAGACGCCAGCCATAGCCTCTTCAGACTGAAAGGTTATCCAACCCCATCCTCCCACTGCTGCTTGAACAATGTGCTTAACGCGTAGTGCCGCAATCACTGCATAGGTAAGTCCATTCACAGGACGCTCCCCGCTTCCTTCTCTTCTTCCCTTACCCCTGAGTTTAGCTTCGTCCGTTTTCAGAATAAATAAACCTATTGGTACAGAAAAACAAACGAAGGGGACGTTAAATCTGTGAGGGGTCAGGGAAAGATGCAAAGGTAGTAATATTTAAACTAAACTTTAATAATAAATGTTTGCTAGGCAGACGAGAGGGGAAGGATCTTTCAGACAGAGGAAACAGCGTTTGCAAAGACATAGTCATAAAAATCCAAAAGTGTTCAAGGAACACCTAATATGGCTTGAGCGGGTGTGTGAAGAGGAGAGGCTGGGACTGAGACGGGGAATATAGGCTGAGGGAACAGTGTGACGGTCCTTATACGCCTTGCCAGGGTGTGTGGACATAATCCTCTAAAGCAGATTACTATGAACAGCCATTAAAGGTTTGGGACAATGGAATGACATTAGCAGAGATGTATTTTTGTGACTGGCAGGATTTCGGAGAGGAGGATGGCTTGGAAGCAGACCAATTAGGAAGCAATTTAATTCAACAAATGTTTCTGGGATGGTTGCTTTGTGTAGGTCAGCTTTGGCATAAAAAGAATGAAGAAACAGGAGGCCTGTCCCCATGAAGCTCATCTTCTCGTCAGGGGGATAGGTGTTCAATGACACAAGCACAATAATGGAAGTATAGTAAGATTTTGACATTTATGGATTTGAAACTCACTGTTTAATGATTTTTAAAGGTCTATGACATGGAGAAATTTGTGATTTTGCTGAGACCCATGTCTTACTCACATTCTGTACTGAGTGAATTGAAACAAGGATTTCAACAGGGTTGTGCTCTATTCTTCATGGTTATATAGGCAGTAATTTCCTGAAGTGATAAGAGCTTCCTTGTTTCTTTTCAGATTAAGTTCATGGTTGATATTACTAAATTAATGATGTAGTGAAATACCGTCTCATTTCAGTTGCAATTTTTATTTTAATAGCCCAATTAATTATTTGAGTCCTAAGGTTCAGACTTAGATATTTAAATATTTTTCCAGCGTTATTGAGGTATAGTTGACAAATAAAAATTGTATATATTTAAGGTGTATAATGTGATCATTTGGTAGGTATATACATTGTGAAATGATTATGACAATCAAGCTAATTAATGCATTTGTTATCTCACAGTTACCATTTTTTTATAAATATTTTTTATTGAGATATATTTTACATACAACATTGTGTAAATTTAAGGTGTATATTTTTCAAAGTTTTTATTTACATTCCAGTTACTTAACATATAGTGTAATATTAGTTTCAGGTGTACAATATAGTGATTCAACACCTCCATACAACAGTAGGTGCTCATCACAACAAGTACACTCCTTAATCCCCATCACCTCTTTAACCAGTCTACCCACCCAACTCCATTTTGGTAACCATCAGTTTGTTCTCTATAGTTAAGAGTCTATTTTGTAGTTTGCCTCCCTGTCTCTCTCTCTCTCTCTTTTTCCTTTGCTCATCTGTTTTGTTTCTTAAATTCCACTTATGAGTGAAACCATAGGGTATTTGACATTTTCTGATGGACCTATTTCCCTTTGCATGATATTCTAGCTCCATCCATGTCATTGCAAATGGCAAGATTTCATTCTTTTTTATAGCTGAATAATACTCCATTATATATATTTATCCTCCACATCTTCTTTGCCCATTCGTCAGTCGATGGACACTTGGGCTGTTTCCATAATTTAGCTATTATTAATGATGCTGCTAAAAACATTGGGGTGCATGTCTCCCTTTCACTTAGTATTGTTGTATTCTTTGGGTAAACACCTAGTAGTGCAACTGCTGGATCTGAGGGTAGTTCTATTTTTAACTTTTTGAGAAACCTCCCTACTGTTTTCCAGAGTGACTGCACCAGTTTGCATTCCCACCAATAGCACAAAACCACCCCTTTTGGTGTTGACCTGTTCTTGTGCTGTTGATTTTAGCCATTCTGACAGGTGTGAGGTGATAGCTCATTGTATTTTTGATTTGCATTTCCCTTATAATCAGTGATACTGAACATCTTTTCATGTGTTTGTTGGCCATCTGGATGTCTTCTTTGGAAAAATGTCTACTTATGTCTTCTGCCCATTTTTAATTGGATTATTCATTTTTGGGGTTTTACATAAGTTCTTTATATATTTGGGATACTAACCCTTTATCACATATGCCATCACAAATATCTTCTCCCATTCCATAGGTTACCTTTTAGTTTTGTTGATTGTTTCCTTTGCTGAGCAGAAACTTTTTATTTTGATAAAGTCCCAATAGTTTATTTTTGCTTTTGTTTCCTTTCCCTCAGGAGATATATCTAGAAAGAAGTTGTCACAGCCAATGTTAAAGAAGTTACTGCCTGTGTTCTCCTGTAGGGTTTTTATGGTCTAAGGTCTTACATTTAGATCTTTAATACATTTTGAATTTATTTTTCTGTAAGGTGTAAGAAAGTGCGGTCCCGTTTCATTCTTCAGCGTGTTGCTGTCCAGTTTTCCCAACACCCTTTGTTAAAGAGACTGTATTTTATCCAATGGATATTCTTTCCTGCTTTGTCGAAAATTAGCTGACTATATAGTTGTGGGTTCATTTCTAGGTTTTCTATTCTGTTCTATTGTTTTATGTGTATGCTTTTGTGCCAGTACAATACTGTTTTGATTAGTACAGCTTTGTAATGTAACTTGAAGTTTGTAATTGTGATGCCTCCAGCTTTGCTTTTCTTTTTCAAGGTTGCTTTGGTTGCTCTGGCTATTCGGGGTCTTTTCTGGTTCCATACAAATTTTGGGATAGTTTGTTCTAGCTCTGTGAAAAATGCTCTTGGTATTTTGATAGGGATTGCATTAAATATGTAGATTGCTTTGGGTAGTATAGACATTTTAACATATTTGTTCTTCTGATCCATGAGCATGGAATGTCTTTCCATTTCTTTGTGGCATCTTCAATTTCTTTCATCAGTGTTTTCTAGTTTTCAGAGTACGGAACTCTTATAATAGTTTGTATTTCTGTGGTGTTGGTTGTTCTTTCTCCTCTCACTTGTGATTTCACCTCTTTGGTTAGGTTTAATCCTAGGTATCTTATTGTTTTTGGTGCAATTGTAAATGGGATTGATTCCTTATTTTCTCTCTCTGTAAAGAGATACATATAGAAATACTCTCAATAATCTTCATTATTGCTATAGAGAAATGCAACAGATTTCTGTACATTGATTTTGTACCCTGTGACTTTACTGAAGTCGTGTATCAGTTCTACCAGTTTATTGTTGGAGTGTTTTGGGTTTTCAATATAGAATATCATATCATCTGCAAATAGTGAAAGATTGACTTCTTCCTTGCTGATTTGGATGCCTTTTATTGCTTTTTGTTGTCTAATTGCTATGGCTAGGACTTTCAGTATTGTTAAATAACAGTGGTGAGAGTGGACATCCCTGTCTTCCTCCTGACTGTAGAGGAAAAGCTCTCAGTTTTTCTCCATCGAGTATGATATTAGCTGTGGGTTTTTCATAGATGGCCTTTAGTAAACCTACTTTGTTGTTTTTATCATGAATGGATGTTGTACTTTGTCAAATGTTTTTGATGCATCCATTGAAATAATCATATGGTTACTGTCCTTTCTTTTATTAATGTGGTATATCACGTTGATTGATTTGCAAATATTGAACCACCCTTGTATCCCAGGAATAAATCTCACTTGATCGTGGTGAATGATTTTTTTTTAAATGTATTGTTGGATTTGGTTTGCTAGTATTTTACTGACAATTTTTGCATCCATGTTCATAAGGGATATTGGCCGGTAGTTCTCTTTTTTAGTGGTGTCTCCATTGGTTTTGTTATCAGGGTTTTGCTGGCCTCATAAATGAAATCGGAAGTTTTCCTTTTCTATTTTTTTGGAACAGTTTGAGAAGAATAGTTATTAACTCTTCTTTAAATGTTTGGTAGAATTTGCCTGTGAAGCCGTCTGGTCTTGGCCTTTTGTTTGTAGGGATTTTTGTGATTACTGATTCAATTTCTTTGCTGGTTATCAGTCTGTTCAAGTTTTCTATATCTTCCTGTTTTAGTTTTGTAGTTTATGTTTCTAGGAATTTACCAGTTTCTTCCAACTTTTCCAATTTGTTGGCATATGGATTTTGATAATATTCTCTTATAATAGTTTGTATTTCTGTGGTGTTGGTTGTTCTTTCTCCTCTCACTTGTGATTTTATTCGTTTGGGCCCTGTCTCTTTTCTTTTTGATAAATCTGGCTAGAGGTTTATCAGTTTTATTAATCTTTTCAAAGAATCAGCTCCTGGCTTCATTGATCTGTTCTATTGCTTTTGTTTTTGTTTAGTTTCTATATCATTTATTTCTGCTCTAAGCTTTATTATTTCCTTCCACTGGCTTTAAGCTTTGTTTTTTGTACTTTTTCTAGCTCCTTTAGGTAAAAGGTTAGATTGTTTATTTGAGATTTTCCTTGCTTCTTGAATTAGGCCTGTATTGCTATATACTCCCCTCTGGAGATTGCTTTTGCTGCATCCCAAAGGTTTGGACTGCTGTGCTTTTATTTTCATTTGTTTCCATGTATTTTGTTGTTGTTGTTGTTTCTTCTTTATTTCCTGGTTGACCCATTCATTCTTTAGTAGCATGTCGTTTAACCTCCATGTATTTGTGGTTCTTTCCACATTTTTTCTTGTGTTTGACTTCTAGTTTCATAGTGTTGTGGTCAGATAAGGTGCATGTATGACTTCAATCTTCTTGTATTTGTTGAGGCCTGATTTGTGACCTAATATGTAATCTATTTTGTTCCATGTGCACTTGAAAGAATGTGTATTCTCCCATTTTAGTCTGGAGTGTTCTGAATATATATGTTAAGTCCATCGGGTCCAGGGTGTCATTGAAAGCCATTATTTGGGTGCCTGGGTGGCTCAGTCGTTAAGCGGCTGCCTTCGGCTCAGGTCATGATCCCAGGGTCCTGGGATCGAGCCCCACATCAGGCTCCCTGCTCAGC